TAGAAGATAGAAAGAAAGAAAAAGGAAGGTAGAAGAGAGAAAAGGAAGGAAAGAAACAGAAAGGAAGGTAGAAGAATGAAAGAAAGAACAAAAGAAGGAAAGAAAGAGGAAAGAAATAGAAAAAAGAAAGATAAAAGAATGGAGGGTAGACGAAAGATAGATAGAAAGAAAGATAGAAGAAGAAAAAAAAGGAAGGTAGAAGATAGATAGATGGAGAGAAAGATAGAATGAAAGAAAGAAAGATGGACAGAAAGGAAGTGTGGTAATATATTCATCATATTCTGCAAGTCCTCGTACAGCTTTGTAAGATCTGGGGGTATCACAAACGCTCCTCATGAGGGCAGTAGTGTCTTTATGATGGGTGATTTGATCCTGTTGGGGTCTGCAAAGCTTAGAGACCAGGAATGTGGGTAAGAGTTCACAGTACCCAGCCGAGCCATTCCCATGAGACCTTTGGTGCCTGGATATTCTCACGGGAACTTTATCATCTTTGCTGAGGCCCGGCTGAGATAATGCTGCTGAGGTAATTGTTTTGATTTTGTACTTGCATTTTCTTAATAAATACTGCTACCCGAGTGCTCTCGGGGCTGGCAATTGCTCAGACGTTTCCCTGCGTCTCCCATTTTTCAATTGTCAGACCACCACAAGGAAGGTAGAAGAAAGAAAGAAAGATGGAAAGGAAGGTAGAAGATAGATAGATACAGATGGAAAGATAGAAAGAAAGAAAGGAAGGTAGAAAGATAGATATAGATAGATAGATAGATAGATAGATAGATAGAAAGAAAGAAAGAAAGAAAGAAAGAAAGAAAGAAAGAAAGAAAGAAAGAGAAAGGAAGTAAGAAGGAAAAAGGAAGGTAGAAGAAAGAAAGAAAGAAAAAGGAAGTTGGAAGAAGGAAAAAGGAAGGTAGATAGATAGAAAGAAAGAAAGAGAAAGGTAGAGGAAAGAAAGATGGAAAGAAGGGAAGGAAGGAAGGTAGAAGAAAGTTAGAAAGAAAGAAGGAAAGAAAGAAAGATGGAAAGAAAGGAAGTTAGAAGATAGAGATAGATAGATAGATAGATAGAAAGAAAGAAAGAGAAAGGAAGTAAGAAGGAAAAAGGAAGGTAGAAGAAAAAGAAAGAAAAAAGAAAAAGAAAGAAAAAGGAAGTTAGAAGAAGGAAAAAGGAAGGTAGATAGATAGATACATAGATAGATGGAAAGAAAAAGAAAAAGAGAAAGGTAGAGGAAAGAAAGATGGAAAGAAGGGAAGGAAGGAAGGTAG